TGTGAAAAGAAAAAACGGCATGAGAAAAACATTGCTTTGCAAACCTTAAGACTTATTAAAAAGCATTGTAATGTTTACTGATAATCTGCCAAGTTTCGTTAACATTCACTTACTAATTTAAAAGTTATAGCACGAAAATTATAACAAGCACAAAATGGTTATGAGGTCAGTCCCAGGGACTGAGCACATGCTGAAAGAAGATCATCTATGCCAGCATATTTCCCAAATTTTAATTTTTGTAGAACCTGTATCAACTTGTTTTTCTGTAGTTATGGTTGTTGTTTAATTTCTACCCACATGTGAACTCGTTTAAAATATGCTAAACTATTTTAATATAATCTTTCTTTGACTTTATCTTATCTCTATAAAAGCATTTTACTTTTCTAATTTCACATTTCCCCATTTCCTTGATTCTTCATACATTTCTTTATATTTGTCACATGGGAAAACTCATTGTAATCAATTTTTGTTCACACTGTTTTGTAAAACAGGCATAAAACAATAGTGAATCTACTTATCAGTACAAAACACTCATCTACAATTAAACTAAATGTAAAACACTAAAACTAATGAATGTAAAAACGTTTCCATAGAAAAGATCTTTGTCAGTATCATTTCAAAATATACAATTAAAAATATCCTAATTAACTAATTACCTGTTAAGTTCTTGAATGAAAGAACTCATTAATAAGTTAATTTAGTGTCACCTTAAAAATTGCAAACAAGTTACAAGGTGGGTCATGTTTAAAACTTACATCATGAATTAAGATAATGCCAGTACTTTTTCAGAGCTGACATTGCTGCATGACATTCACTTTATCACCACTGGTTTTTATCATTAATATAACTGGTTTGGCTTATCATGTGAAGCTCCTAATTTCTTCTTGGCAACTTGAAAATAGTCCTCTACTTACTCATCATAGCTTTTCACAAGTTAATTTATCTCTGAGTTGCTGCTTTAATGCCATTTCAAATACCCATTTTTACTTCCTAGAACTCCCACTATTAGTACTTCCTTCTTTCCATTCAAAATTATTCAACTTACTGTTTACAATATACAACTCTTTTTATACATTTTTAAGTTTTGCCCCTCTTTCTTTCTCCTTTTAAATCAGTTAATTTAACCATTCTTATTTTATATTTATCAATAGTGTTTTAACATTGCTTTCTCATTTTGTTCCATATTAGTCACCATCTTGAACTTCGGTTCATTTATTTCTTATTACTAATATCTAAATAATTTCTTGAATATAAATTTTAATATTTGGCAAGGTAACTACCAAGGGTTTATTATGTTCTCTCTCTGAGGTGCCATTATTATCTCCAGTATTAACCTGTTCACCGAATAGACCAATTCTAGATACACCTGAAACAATTTATCCATCACTTAGACCACTAGACATTAATATAATATCTATGTACTACTATTTAAACTTTGATAATTTATTAAGCAACAGATAGTTAGTGTTAATTATTCACTAGTTATCTTATAATGTTCTATAACTGGCTGACATACATCATACTTGTGGTTTCATGCAAGTTGTTAAAAGTATGAACTGATTAGTTACACCATAGCAGATAATTTGAAAAAAATATATATATTACTGCCAAAAATAGTGCTAATATAATTTGGACATTCAATTTTTTTTTTAAAGTTGAAAATGTGATTAAGAGAAAAGCACTAATAACTCAAAACTAAACTTAACATTGAATCCACACACGTATCTATCAATACCTCTAACAATGGTGGTTTGGTGAAAAATGGAATTTTTCCTCTCTGCCAATCATTTAACATCATCTTGGCTACTGTATGAATATCAGGGTGTCCTCCCTGAAAATAATTTCCACATATTTAGTAAATATTATTTAACTCTGATGTTATTTCAATACATATAGCAAACATATATGTAATAATAGTTTCAGCTCTGACAGAACTTTAATAATTAATATGTTTGACAAATATAAGAGAAGCTCCCTCTTTTTAAATTACATATGCAATTTTTGTTTTATTAAAGATAGTAAACATGTCCCAAGGATTGCTCACTTTTAATAATTTTCCTGTTCTTTTTGCAAGTTTTTCAAGAAAGTCTTCGGCATTATTCCATTCTTCAATTTTGTAATTTTTTTGTAAATACTCCTTCTTCACACGTTCTAGAACTGCTGGAATATGATCCTCTGGAGTTTTTATATTCTCTACACGTACCTGCAGGAAATAAGTTAAAAATCTACAGCAATCTACTTTTAATTCTGTAACTGTAGGAAAACTAGCATCAAAAACCATTTTCCTTATACGTCAATTGCTTGATAGAGAACAAAACATAGTATGGCAGAACTCAACAGATCAGAATTTTTTGCATTTTGGCTAAAATACTAATGACAGTTTAAACACACAGTTCATATGTTGAATTAAGGAGTTTTTAGCTACGAGTATGAAAATATAGAATATCTGGTGTATATAATGCTTGGCTAACAAATGTACTAAATACATTAACACTTATTGTAACTTACTAACTATACTTATATACTGTTCTAAGAAGAATATATTTTTAATTTCAAAGAAACGCAGGTATATACTGCAAGCTCATGAAAAGTATCAGTACTGTAAGATAAATGGTGAACTATTTAATACTTTCTGAATTTAACCAGTTTCTTCAACATCCTGAAGAAAAGCTGAAAAATTTTAATTTATCTAATTAAATCTATTCATTGATAAACTCATAATTTAATTAATTTTTTCTGTAAAAATAGTAAACCCACTGATGATACACATCACTTAGCAATACTTCTTAAAATATATTTTTTACAGTGATGAAAAAAAAATATTGCTAGAAAATGCAACTACAGTACAGAGGGTTGAGTATGTTACATTAAAGTTATCTTAAATATATAAATTAGCAAGTTATAGAGCAACCATAGTCAATATAGCCATGGTGAAAGTATCAGAACTACATTTTAACATTATTTAATAGTAGTGAGATGGCAGCTAAAATGTATCACTTTTGGATGGGATATGTAACATCCCTTTCCAACACAAAATATTCACACACTCAGATAAAGATGGCTCAGATTGGGGATTTATAGTTTCCAAGATGAATCTATCCCACATACTTAATGATATTGGAAAACAATGTATTCTGTATCAACTTAAGACACCAGGCCCACAAAGAAAGAGAACTGCAACAATATGTACCTCAGCAATGGTAAGTAAAGTGTGACATATTGTAACAGGAGAGAAACAACTGACACAAAGATCATTAGTGAGAGCTTTCAATGTGTCACTTACAACAGTACACAACATAATCATGAAGTATCTCCATTTGGAAATGAGATCAACAAGATAAAGCTTCCAGTTATTCTTCATGTTCAACCATTACATTCCTTAGGCACCTGGAGAATGAACTGGGTATTCACACTTTTCTATATGAAGACATACTTGTCAACTTGCCAGAATCAGTGCCTATGGATTTGTGTGCAGTTGTATTGTTGAAACAGGTGGTAGGAAACCTTTGCACACTAGATGGATTATGGAAAGCATGCAGGGAGGAGTGACAAGTTTTGGTCATAACAGCCTTAAAAAGGATGAAAAGTACACTGCACACATTGCCAAAATGTATGGTTGTCAGATAGAAAATAACCAAACATGGCGACACAGACTGTACAGGTGTGGTGAGGCTCTAAAATTGTTTTAATACAACATATTCTGTATTGTTTGTTTTATAGTGTTCTTAATTTCTAAACATTATGGTCAACGTAACTAATTATATAATACAACTGTGATTTGAATACAACCAATAAACATTGAAGCTCTGGATAGTAAACTTGACTAATGAACCATAACTTCTGATGCATAATACTATATATTTCACCTTGTCAGGACACTTGAAGACACAGATGTAAATTTAGTGTAATTGATCTCAACCCGGATATAATCCACCCCTGCCCTGGATAGTACAAAAGACTAATGAACCAGATGTTTTGATGTATAATTCCATGTGCTTCAACTTACCAGGAAACTTGAAAACACAACAGCAGTTTTAATATAATCAATTCAACCAAGAAGTGAGTCCTGAATATTACACTGGTCTAATGAGCCACAAGGTCTAATGTAGAATTCAATACACTAAAGATGGAAGCATAACTACAGAACATACTTATTTCAGACTATAGTACTTAAAAAAAAAGAGATCTCTAAATAAGAACATTGCAACTTTATAATAGACAATAAAATGTTTAATGTTTTTTTCATAAGTATAACAATAATTGATCTAACCTTCCTTCAAATATAATAATTTATACAATTATAAAAGCTAAAAGAGAGATAGATAACCATATTTTTCATATCCTTGGCCACCCTAGAAATGAGAAAAAAATAGAAGAGTTTTTGTAATTATTCAAAATTACAATACAGCAGCCATTATAACTAATGAATCAGAAGTTCTGATTTATAATCCCATACAGCCAAACTTATCAGGAACACATTCAGACAACAGAAGCAGAATATTTACCAGTCACAAACATGTAACTACAGAGTGATGACACAGCTATAGTTAAAAATAATGGAATAATTAAGTTACATATAAAAATGCTTATAAGTGGCAAAAATCACTGTTACTAAGAAAAGCGAATTTGACAAAATAATTTTGGCAATAAATTATGACCAGTGCTTGTAGACTACTCTAACTTACAATTTTTGTCTGAGTTACACTGATGTGTTTCTGGAAAACACACCTGAAATGTAACATTTGGTAATTATCACACTCTACAATACTTCTCAAAGTAAATTTAATTCTCATGCAGGTTCTAACAAGAATATTGGTAATAATAAGACAAGCTAACTATTCTTAAAATTACTACCACTACTTTGTTCATGTAATGAAAGCTGAAGTACTCACCACACCCTTCAGGACTATTTCTGTATCAGAATCATCAGATGGGTAAACCACTCCGGGGCAATCAATTAAATAAATCCTTTTCATCAGTGTTATATACTGCCATACCTAGTATACAGTATTAAAACCTTTCAGTTCCAGCTTAAGAATGACAAACTTGGTTTGTTAATTTAGTAAAACTTGTCTAATCAAAACAGCTTAATTTTCATTATTTGTAATACATTTATATGTATTACATTCATTAAAGTACATAAATTAATTTAATGTTGAAAATTCTGATAGATAAAACAAAAATGAGGAAAGTAGCCATGTAATCATACAAATTAATTTAGTTTAGCATTAAGAAGTTACAAAGATTTCCAATACCTTTGTTTCACCAGCAATTGGTGCAACATTACATACTTTCTTGGCTCGCACAGCATTAATAATGGAACTTTTGCCAACATTTGGGTAACCAATGAAGCCAACACTAATTTGTTTTTTATCTTGATGAAGCTGTAAAAACAAAAAAGAAATATTACAAGGTAGTTCATTTAGCACCCAAATAGAATGTGTACTGTCCAAAGCTGCTCAATTGCAATTCTAAATATGTACATGAATAAGAAAAACAAACAAGCACACACACACACACACACACACTTATAATATCTGTTTAGAACTATTACTATCAAACACAATTTTTAGTAGCTGAAATAAGCTTTTATGAATTACCAAAGACTATAAAAACTAATAAAAATAACTGTAAAACATGATTAAATACACTTCCGAACAGTTTCTTTTTTTAACTGTACAGTGATATGAATTGAAATACAACCCAAAAATATTGCCAGTGGGCTTATGTTTCCTTTACACTTGTTAAAACATGTTTTTGTATGTTCATACTATTTTTCCCTGACTTTTGTTCAAAATTTTTTTTGCTTTATTTCAGTTTCTCCGACATTTCTAGGTTTTTCAAATTTGTGGCCCCTACCTGTATAGTAATATCTACAGAAACACATAAGCTCCAGAATACTAAACATTAACATAAATATATAAACTCATCAAAAAGAGAAATACATGAATCAGGTTACTAAAGTTTATTAAGAGTATTAAACACTCAAATATAAACATATCAGGATACTGTAGTAAGATGTGGAAAGTACATGTAGTAATATCAAGGACAAACATAGTACAGAGTTATCTCATTTCTGCAACAAGTACAGGTATAGTAATCTGTTATAAGTGGAATGAAAAATATAATAATTAGTGTGAAGACAGACAAATACACAGTGTTTTTATCAAGACAGCTGAATAATAAATGCTGACTGGCTATTATGTGGTCAAACTATTGGTGAATATTGAAGTTGAAATGTAAAATAAATGCAAGTGAAAGGAAAAGTAGTATTATAAATTAAATTGAAGATGAAGCACACTTAATCAGCAGGGACAAAAACATGGATCAGACTTCACTAGCAAGTCTTGGGATGCTTTAAAATTCCTTAAAAGAACCAAACTGCATTCAAAATACATTCTTATTCTCTGTGCAGCTGACCAATCAGAAAACTGGATCACAAAAATCTGGAAGTATCTCTGCTCCATGTGACAGTCATACAGCAGTCCTCTGTAAACATGGTAAAGTATGGTATAACTGTTAAATGATACAGTAGATACCTTTCATGGTCAGAGCTGCTACAGAAAGTAATGCCTCAGGCTGAATTTAAAAATCAAAATCTTGACAGATTTGAGATGTTCTGCATCAGAACTTTTGTAGACATTAAATATATATATTATAGAAAAATAAGACGTGGTATATGCATACTACACATACAAAACCTCAGATATTAGAATGCAGCAGTAATAACTCAAAACAAATATATCAGAATGTGTAGTAACAAAAGATGGAATTTGCAAGGCACTACACACTTTATAAGAAGCATTACATAATTAAACAAAAATATACCCAAGTACTACATGAAGAGAAATGTATAAAAACCAAAACACTAAATAGTGTTTATTAACCATTTCGAGACAGGTCATGGGTGAAAGGCCATGTCATCTCGTTTGTTGACTCACATTCGAAATTTTAATGAACTACTATTTCATGAATTTATGCCAATAA